TCACTGGGTTGGTACCCCATCCACTATATTCAACTTTTGCTCTCTTCACCACAAATGCACAGTGCCCTGCAGCGTGTACCATCTACAAGATCACTGCAGTGACTCACTAAGGCTCCTATGTCTGCACCTTCCAAACCTGCAACCTTTACCACCTAGAAGGCAAGGAGCACACATACACAAGAACACTACCATCTACAATTTCCCCTCAAAGTCACACACCATCCCAACCTGTAACTATTTTGCTGTTCCTTCACTGTTGTTGGGTCAAAATCCCAGAACTCCCTCCAGGGTAGCATTAAGATCCAAGAAAGGAAGTCACCAATGCTTTCTCAAGGGCAATAACTGATTGCTAGTGATGCCCACATCCGTTATGTTTACGCATCTTTTATGTAGAACAATGCTTATTCTTCACAATCCCAAAGGATGACTTATCTTTCCGAAAACGTGCTTTACTGCTCCCAAAGGCTGCCTGGTCTCCAAGGGTAATTGACCTTGCCAAAGGTGTCCCACGGCCAGATCCAAAAGTACATCTTACCTCTTTGACAGAATATCCTGGCTATTCAGAATAAATGTGCTGAGAACAGATCTGTTCTTATGTGGTCTAATCTCCACACTCCGTGCTCTGGGGAATATCTGACTTCCTGGAACCAGCTGTCATTTAAATGGCCAACTGCTTCTGGGAACTGCACATGTGCAAACTACAGACCATCCCACCTGCATTTACTTTCTGGAGTAATACTGGGATCTGGGGCAAGATTTGGGATTCCTGACTTTACCCAGCATTTTCATCACAATGGAAAATGTGCTTTACGTTGTGGTTTTAAAAAAATCTGGGCTTCAGACTTCATACCTTGAGATACTGAACATGACACCTGTAATTAAGGTACTGTTTAGGTCATAGTTGGGGTATCATGTACAGTTGGTAATGTGAGATATGGTAATGTGAGATATGGAAATGTTATTGGAACCATGAAAAACTGGGAAAAATACACTCACTAAAATAATGTTATGAATGTACAGCATTCGCTGTAGTGAGGTATTTGAAAAACTAGCACAACATCACAGGAACACCGAAGATTGAGGAAAAGGGGATCCTACAAAAGTGTTTAAAATTTAAAATAAAACACCTGAAAGAGGACTGAGGCTCCAAAAGCTTGTGTTTTCAAATAAACCTGTTGGACTATAACCTGGTATCATGTCATTTCTGACCTTGCCCACCCCATTCCAACACCAGCACCTCCACATCATAAAATTTTGGAAGCATTTGAGATCATAGCCAAAGAAGAAACATTTCCACTCGTTTGTGAATTTGGAGGCATAAATCATGATTAGCATGGAAAGCAAGAAGAATAAGGTCAGCATTTTTTTTTTTAAAATGTACAATTGTTTGAATGTGGAACATAATAGCTAAATAATCATTGAAGCTGGGCCATTTACATTTAAGCCATAAGTGGAAAAAGAAAAGATACAGGGAAAAAAAGCAGGAAAATGGAATCATATTGTAGAGCTGGAAATGGCATGAAACACAATGGGCTGAAAAGGGTTTCCTCTATGAAAAATGATATGAAACAAAACTTAACCAATTAAGGTCCAAGAAGCAATAATAAATGAATGCAATATTGTGTATATATTACTCTCAAACAACATTTTCATCTGGACTGCATTATGTATACTGTACATCTAATAGGAAATGAAATAGTAAATGCTTTCAGCAATACAGGTAGTTTACCAATTTCCAGATAGGCCAACTTTCATATTTAATTGGTCAACCGTGAGTTGGATATAAAATTAACAAGCATTTTGTTAAAAAACAAAAACATTCAATTTCATTAGATTCTTAATATAAATCTTCCATTTAGAAAATTTTATAAAATTTTCCAGTTAAAAATCTTATGCATCGTAAGTAAAATACAGTGAGAATAAGTCCTACATGCTAAAGCTTTGCTCTGTACTCTACAGGACTACTCCAAACTAAAAATTGTCATTACCTGGAGCTAGCTGCCCCATTTTGATGAAAACTACCTCTTCCTCCAGAAGGAACAGTTATCTCAATCCCAGAAATAACAGTAACAAAAAAAAAAGTCTATCCCCCCCCACCACCCAGCCCTGGGGTGTTGCCATTTAAAATAAAAATCAACCATAGTCTAAATCACTCCATCTGGCTGCTTTGGTCATGTGACCCTTAACACTATTGCCATCACACTGATCAATTTCAATTTTAACATTTAGATAGGAACAACTCTGGATTAGCTGCTTCATCACTGTCTTATTAAATCCAAAATCACAGCAATAATTAATCAATCAATCATTATTTAATTAATAGCTTATCGAATTTTGCAACATGGGTCAGCAGCCAGAAACCTAGATATATCAGAATGGAGCACCAGTGATGTATTATGACTGTTTTTTCCCATGAATGAAACATCAACAATATGCCAACAATATTATTTCCCTTTCAAAACAATTGCAAAGTACATGATAAGGACTAATAGCTGAAAATTGCAGCATCGCATTACCGAGTAATAAAGCAGTTATGGACAAGAATGTCATTACTCTGCTGTCAGTGGTGCACAAGTCTATTCCATCAAAAGATCTTCAATCCCCTCCTTGCACACAGAGATGAAACAGTGGGCTGAATTTTCCCACCAGCAGTGAGGCAGGTTTGGAAGCAGCACCGGGAGGAAATTTAACAGAATCTGTATCAGGGCAGGTCTCCGGAAACACCTTCAAGTGATTTTACAAGAGGTGGGTCTGACTGGTACCAGCTTCCTGCCTGGCAGCAATAGGTAACCAGTTAAGATCAATTAATTCCCTGCATGGTGTCACTGCTGGAATCCTCCTTTACGTTACCCATCTATATCGATGGCCTGGCAGAAATGGCAATACTTATTTTTTGCACTTTATCTCAGAGGTGCCCTCACGTTCATCTAGTTATGTTCACAGAGTCATACAGCATGGAAACAGACCCTTCGGTCCAACCAGTCTATCCAGAACATAATCCCAAACTAAACCAGTCCTACCTGCCTGCTCCTGGCTCATATCTTTCCCTATTCATGTACTCATCTAAATGTCTTCTAAGCGTTGTAACTGTGCCTGCATCCACCACTTCCTCAGGAAGTTCATTCCACATGTGAACCACCCTCTGGGGAAAAAAAAATTGCCCCTCATGACTTTTTCAAGTCTCTCTCTTCTCATCTTAAAAATGTACCTCTTAGTCTTGAAATTCCTCCATCCTAGGGAAAAGACATTCACCTTAACTATATCCCTCATGATTTTATAAACTTCTATAAAGTCATCTCTCAACCTCCTACGCTCCAGTGAAGAGTCCCAGCCAAGTCCACCTTTCTTTATAACTCAAACCCTCCATTCCCAGCAACGTCTTGTTAAATCTCTTCTGAACCTTCTCTAACTTAATAATATCCTTTCTATAATAGGACACAGTACCCCAGAAGAGGCCTCACCAATGTCCTGTACAACCTGACGTTGCAACTCCAATACTCGAAGGTCTCAGCAGTGAAGGCAAGTGTGCTAAACTTACCCATCTCTGGCCAGAGACTGCTGCAGACCTTCCTCTTGGGCATGAAAATTCCCTGGTTCACCCTCCATCCTTAATCAAGAGGCTGCTTCTTAACCGGCTGTCTCTCGTAATGCTGCCACAGCCACTTCTGTTTACTCGCCCTTGACTTGAGCCTGACTTTGGGATCCCGATGATCACAGCCCACTAACCATTTATTTCTCCACAGGTGCTGTCTGACCTATAAGTGACTCTGGCTTTTCGTTACCTCCTTGTAGGCTTGCTTTGTGGGAATGGGGTTATGTTGCTGCTGAGACCAAGACCAGCTTTACTTGTGTCTCAAGTCATTCCTGCAAAGGGGAAGCAGAAATGGTTCACGGGACAGATAATGTCACACAGCATTCAGCACTTAAAATCTTAAAAAGGATAAAGAACATGCTGCTGACAGTTTACTTGGTGTTTGTTTCTTTACGAGTCAATAGTCTTGCTGTGCACTTAGGCTTTGCAGAATGAATGCTGCATTTATATATTTCGCTTCGTATTGTGACTGAGAGGGGGTGTGGGGACATCAATCAGCATGACTTCTCATTTGGAGGTCACCTATGTAGCATTGCAAGCATCCCAACACAAACAGGGTGCTGGTGAAATGCCAGGAAAGTTGTAAGCCTAATACAAAAGGGCCCTCAATTGGGGTTTTAATTGGCTACACTGCCTGCCCAGCTCCATGATGCCCCTGGCAGTACATCTCTGACAATTTATCCTGAGGCAAACAGTTTCAGTCACCATGGGTTGCCCCACTACGCTCCAGCACCTTCTAAACCTACTTCCACAAGGCTGGGAAAATTCAGCTCCAGGATTCTGAAACTCACTTGCATTATCTTATTGCTGCTGTTCTAAATTTTAAAAGGCTAGAAAATTCAATAAGATATTGAATCCATAGCACTGTTGTCCAGATTCAGAAGGTGATTTTATTATCTCAACTCACCCAGAGTTTAGGACCACTATCTTGTTTATCTAATGGTTTAGCTACTATGATCAATGGATCACAATAATTCCAATTTAGGACATTCACAAAAACAAATCATACAGCTCTGAGAGGTAGTTTGCAACAAATCTGGAGCTATAAGACATGAGGTGAGATCATGTAGTGAAACACTACATCGGACAAACAGGAAGGAAACTAACAACAAGAGTACATGAACACCAACTGGCTACAAAAAGACACGACCAATACTCACTCATCTCAATCCACATGGACAAGGAGAACCACGACTTCGACTGGGACAACACCAAGATCCTGGGACAGGCTAGGCAGAGACAAGCATGAGAATTCCTGGAAGCATGGCACTCCACGAAGCAGGCTATTAATAAACACATTGAACTCGACCCCACATACATTCCACTACGGAGGAAACCCGGAAGTGAGGCAATCCATCACAACGGACCCCAGAGTTTAAAAGCCAGGCGGGAAAACACACCGACGCTTCATCAGAGGCTGCACTGAGGATGTTACCAAGCATGGTAACGAAACGTCTGCGGAACAAACAAACAAGCTCGGCGAGCCAACCAACCTCAACATCACAGTATCCTACAGCACGCAATCACTTTTTGTTTTGATCTCTACAGCTCACCCATAAAGGGAGGTTCGCTTGGAAAAAGCTAAACTAAATAAAACAACCCTAAAATGCAGGTGCATTGAGTATAAACACCATTTCCTGCAAATATATTGCACTGATCTTATGTTACTTTTCTACATTGAAAGCTCTATATAGATGTTGTGATAGAATTGTTTTCTTATTATTCCAGACCAAACCCCTCTGCATTTGAAATAGCAATTGTTAACTTCTGTTTAAGTTCTTTCTTATTCTTGTACGGAGGCAGGCAGAGTTGATTAAAACATGTGTGGGCAACTGGTAACCTGTGGATCCAGAAAATGAAGTTTAGAAAGGCTAGTTCATAAACTGTTTAAAAATAAACCTTTCTTTACAACGTTATTCTGTGCTAATTCTATTCAATGATATTTTGGTTTATAAAAATAAGACATGTTTCTAGGTAGATTAAAATGAAGAACTGCAGATTTGAAACAAAAACAAACTGCTGAAGAAACTCAGGAAGGAGGTTTGGCAGCACCAGTGGAAAGAAAGCAGAGTTAACGTTTCAAGTCTGGTGACTCTTCACCACGGTTCCGAAGACACAGACCGGCTCAAATGGCTGGATGGCTGGTTTGTGATGCAGATTGATTCTAACAGCGGGTTCAATTACCTTACCAGCTGAGGTCACAGTGAAGGTCCCATTTTAGCCTTGCCATTTGCCCGAGCTATGGTGAGCCTCAAGTTAAACTGACTACTAGTTGTTTACAAATATGGTTGTCTGGGACTATGGCGACTTTCATTTCATTATATTGTGACACACAACAGGTTTACGGACAAAGAATAAAACAGACAGTAGCAACTTGGCTATGGGACTGACTAAGTTATAGGGAACAATGAGTAAAGGCTGACGGATATGTTTCAGATAGGAGGAAGTTGTGTAGCAGAGTTTCTCGGGGGCCAGTGTTGCAACTCTTGCTTTTCCTAATGTATAGTGATGGCCTAGACCATGATGTACTGAGTATAATTTTAAAGTTTACAAATGTTACAAAACTTGGAAGCAATGTGAACTTTGAGAAGCACAGCTTTGGATTTCAAAAGGACATTGGCTAGTTGGTTGAATGGGTGGACAGATAGCAGATGAAGTTTAAATTAAAGAAATTTGAAGTGATTCATTATAGTAGGGAAGAATGTAGTGGGAGAATATAAAGGGTACAATTCTATATGGTGCAGGAGCAGAGGGACCTGGGTGTAAATGCACATAAGGTACATTCTCTTTAAATATTTCCTATTGCTGCACAGACCTAATGTCTGTGCACTGCAGCAACCTATGGAACCAGATAGCCTCGTGGTATTAATCCAGAGTCCCAGGTAATGGTCTGTGGACCCAGGCTGGAATCCTACTATGGCAGATAATGATATCTGAATTCAATTCTGGAATTAAGAGTCTAATATTGACCATGAAACCACTGTTGATTGTCAGAAACAAACCATCTGGTTCACTAATGTCCTTTTTAGGGAAGGAAACTACTGTTCTTGCTCGGTCTGGTCTACAATTGATTTTAGATCTCGCAGCGATTTGGCTGACTTTTAACTGCTCTCTGAGCAATTAGGGATGGGCAATAAATGCTGGCCTGGCCAGTGACGCTTGCATCCTCTAAATGTTAAAACTGAAGTCAGTGCATCCTCTGTGCAACTTCAAGGGAACACTGCACGAAAGTCATTGAAGGAGGCAGGAATGAATACTAAGCTTTGTTAAATAGTGATTAAAGTGCAAGAGCAGGAAGGTTAGGTTAAACTTGTAAATAACACTGGTTCAGTCTCAACTCCAGTACTGCATCCAGTTCTGCGTCTCTACTTTAATAAATACATGAAGGCATTAGAGAGGAAGTAGTAAAGATTCACAAGAATGGTTCCAAGGAATCAGGGTGAGCTTGCTAATTGGCTACATGAGAGGCTTAATGGCAGGAGACAGTAGTGGTAGAACGTTGCTTTTTGGACTGGAGGCCTGTCACCAGAGCTGTTCCACAGGGATCGATTCTGAGTCCTCTTTTGTTTATCATTTATGCAGGGGAGCCAATGGCCTAGTGGTATTAACGCTGGACTGTTAATCCAGAGACCTGGACAACATTCTGGGGACCTAGGTTTGAATTCTGCCACGGCAGATGGTGGAATTTGAATTCAATAAAAATATCTATAATTAAGAACCTAATCATGACCATGAATCTATTGTCGGGAAAAACCCATCTGGTTCAGTGATGTCCTTTAGGGAAGGAAACTACCATCCTTACCTGGTCTGGTCTACATGTGACTCTAGACACACAGCAATGTGGTTGACTCTGAACTGCCCTCTGGGCAATTAGGGAAGGACAATAAATGCTGCCTAGCCAGCGACGTCCTCTTCCCGTTAACGAATAAAGTTTAAAAAAAAAAATGATTTGGATGAGAACATAGAAGACATGGTTAGTAGGTCTGCCGACGACACCAAGTTGGTGGCATAGTGGATAGTGAAGGTTTGCTAAGATTACAAAAGGGATCTTGATCAAATGGGTCAATGGGCTGAAAAATGGCAGATGTTGCTCAATTTGGATAAGTGTGAGGTACTCCATTTTGGTACAACAAATGGCAGGTCTTATACAATTAATGGTAGAGTCTTGGGTAGTTTTGTAAAAGAGAGGGACCTAGATGTTCAGGTACTAATTGTTTGAAGCTTGCGGCACAGAGACAGGATAGTTAAAAAGGCATTTAGCACACTTGGCTTCATTGCTCAGTACTTTGAGGATAGGAGTTGGGAAGCCATGTTGAGGTTGTACAGGACATTGGTGCGGCCTCCTCTTGAATAGTGTGTCCACATCTGGTCGCCCTGTTATAGGAAGGATATTATTAAGCTGGTGACTTCAGAAGAGATTTACCAGGATGTTTAAGGGCATGAAAGGACCGAGTTATAAAAGAAGACTGAATAGGCTTGGACTTTTTTCATTGGCGTATAGGAAGTTGGGAAGTGACCTTGTACAGGTTTATAAAATCATGAAGCGTACAGATAGGGTTAATGGTAAGTGCCTTTTCCCTAGAATGGGGGAGTTCAAGACTAGGGAGCATATTTTTGAGGCAAGAGGAGTGAGGTTTGAAAAAGACAGAGGGGCAAATTTTTTGCATAGAAGATGGCTCGCATATGGAATGAACTTCCTGAAGAAGTGATGGATGTGAGTACAGCTACAAGGTTTAAAAGACCTTTAGATGAGTACATGCATAGGAAAGGTCTGGAGAGATATGTGCCAGAAGCAGGCACGTGGGACTAGTTTAGTTTGGGATTATGGTCGGCATGGACTGGTTGGACCAAGGGTCTGTTTCCATGCTTCATGACTCTAAGACTCTGCTGCTTTTTTGTCATTTATATAAAATGATTTGGATGTGAATATCGGGGAAATGGATAGTAAGTTTGCAGATGACAACAAAATTGGTTGTATAGTGGACAGCCAAGAAGGTTACCTCAGAGTACAATGGGACTTTGATCAGATGGGCTAGTGGGCCGAGGAGTGGCAAAAGGAGTTTAATTTAGATAAACGTGAGGTGTTGCATTTTGGAAAGACAAATCGCGGCAGGATTTATAGATCTAATGGTCAGGTCCTGGGGAGCAAAGCTGAACAGAGACCTTGGAGTTCAGGTTCATAGTTCCTTGAAAGTAAAGTCGCAGGTAGACAAGATAGTGAAGGCAGTGTTTGGTACCCTTGCATTCATTGGTCAGTGCATTGAGGATAGGAGTTGGGAAGACATGTTGTGGCTGTGCAGGATGTTGGTTAGGCCACTTATAAAATACTGCGTGTAATTCTAGTCTCCCTGCTATACACAAGGATATTTTGAAACTTGAAAGGGTTCAGAAAAGACTTAAAAAGGATGTTGCCAGGCTTGGAGGGTTTGAGTTATAGGGAGAGGCTGAACAGGCTGTGGCTATTTTCCCTAGAGTCTCAGAGGCTGAAGGGTGGCCTTATAGAAGTTTATAAAAATCGTGAGGGGTATTGATAGGGTGAATAGACAAGGTTTTTTCCCTGGGGTGGGGGTGTCGAAAACTAGGGGGCATAGGTTTGATTTGGGAGGGGAAAGACTTAAAAGGGACCTAAAAGGCAACTTTTTCACACAAAGGGTGGTGCGTGTATGAAATGAGCTGCCAGAGGAAGTGGTGGAGGCTGGTACAATTATGACATGAATAAAAAGGGTTTAGAGGGATATAGGCCAAATGCTGGCAAATGGATCTAGATTAATTTAGGATATCTGGTCAGCATGGACAAGTTGGACCGAAGGATCCGTTTCCATGCCATACAGCTCTATGCTTCTATGACTATGAGCAAATTCAGTTACAAAGAGAGACTGGAGAAATTAGAACTGATTTCCTTGGAGAAAAGAAGGTTTGAGAGGGGATTTGTTGGAGAAATCAAAATCATGAGGAGTCTAGACAGAGGAAATAGGAAGAAACTATTGAAATTCAGGAAAAGGATGGGGAATGAAAGGGCACAGATCAAAATAAAAAGCAAAAGCAACATGAGAAACAATATTCAGAAATCAAATGGGAAGACAGAGATGGGCTGATTTGCAAAATATATTTTGTATTTTTGTATTCAACACATTCTTTAGAATGCTAGTGTATTGTAAGAGGACATGACTTCCATTACTGTACAATTGTAACATGAGTGATTGCTTTCAAATATATTTTGCAGAGAGAACTACAGTATATTTATAGAATAGCATTTGACCAATCTGATTCTATTCAGACATTATCTTTTTGTCTACTTGGAGCCATATGTCATAAGTAATTGTGTTATTTTCTGAGATAAAAATGTTGGAAAGAATGTATAACAGATGGAAATTACATTTAATGAAAACATCTTACCAATCAGTGGGCACATCAATCTTTGTAATTTTAAAACTAAGATCAGCGAGTCCACCAACTGGAACTCTATCACTTCCTGTAGTAAAATGCAGAAGTTGTTTCTGGAACTCAAGACTGAATCCTAAAACCACATCCCAGAAGTACCTACGTGAAAGAATGAAGAATAATAAAAAAAAGAAAATCACTATATGGCATATGGAAATATTTATTCATTCTATCATTCAAGTCAGGAGAGTGAAGGAACACTCTCCATTTGCTCAGATAAATGGGACATCGCCTTAAATATTCAATTTTTCAACTACCAACACAGTGGCAGCAGTGTATCAATTCCAAGCAGCACTGTAGCAATTAGTCAAGACTCCTTTGACCGCACCAGTCACACGCACAACCTCTACTGCCTAGAAGTGACTTGGAATCATATTGCTGTTCCTTCATTCAATCAAAATCCTGAAACTCCCTTCCTAACAGCACTGTGGTGTATCTGCACCCCTACTGCAGTGATTCAAGAGACAGCACACTACCACCTTCTCAAGGACATTAAAGAGGAGGAATAAGTGCTGGCCTAACAAATAGCATTCTCATTCTAAGAAAAAATAAAAGAAATTCTATTCGACTAAGGGTGCTTTTACACTACAATTGTGGATTGGGTCTGAAATTTCACCTTGCAATGACACTACCAATTGAGTAAGCGCACACTGAATATGGAACTAGGGTTAACTTGATGGTGCATAGAAAGACTCCAATATAAAAAGCTGCTTATCTGGGCAAAAAAGTGTTATTGCCAGTCATTTGTGTTCCCCCTAAATTTTGCAAGTTATAGTGTTACAGGGGTATGTATTGTGTAATATCCTGTGAAAGAGATTTGCTTGGCAGCCTCTGTTAAATATTCATATTTTTAAAGTGGAGGCTTAGAGTCTCAAAATACATTAAACTCATGTTCAGCTTCTACATGTTTGGCAAGTAGATGAAGCAGGCCATTACATAGCAAGGATATGGATGAGACTGGTACCATTAAGGGCAGTTAGCTAAGCCATCTAGCTTTGCAGTTCAAATGAGCATGAACCTATGTTCTTTGTCACATATACAATGGCAAATTGACCACTAGTGCAGTTCATGGAAGTTATTAGATTGTGTGTAGGTACACAGATTGTGGTCCTACCAATAAATCAGTTTCTAGGTTGTTTTCAATGCCAATATGCTTTAAAACAAGGGGGCATTCAGTAGAGCTCATTGCTTGACCACACTGTTAATATTCTTACGGTTCCCATCTCTTCCTGAAGGTTTATGGCTGCATGGTTGATGCTCTAAAACTACAAAACTGAGAGAATAATCTTATTATTGGGAGCTTCCGTCTTGACATGGCTCAAAGTCAATCCATATCTAACAGCCTGATCAAAAAATTTTGCTCTTATTTTTACAATAGTAACAAATCCCACAACAATATATCTGACATAACTCTCAATATTCTACAACAAATGTCCATTTATCCTATTTCCCAAAGTTGCTAAAATTCTGGAATCTACATATGCATCTTTGCTAAAAACTAATAGTTATTCCTTGCAACTTCCTTGTAGCAAATCTTGTTGAAATCCAACTTTTAGCTTTTAGAAATATACTGTTCACAGAGAAACAAACTAATAACTAACAGGGGGAAAAAAAAATTACCTCCACCTACCGCCATTGGTAGAGGTAACAAAAAGCTAAATTTTTTTATCTTTGCATATGATAGGCTTTGGAACACTCACATAATAAAGGTGTGTAGGGATTTAGAAACGGTTCAGAGAATGGCCAAGATTTGACTGCCAATTTATAACACCAGGTAGGCTCAGAGATGATTTGATCGAGGTCTATAAAATATTGATGTGATAAGATTATGTTCACTTAACCCATTACTCCAACTGAATAATTCAGGGAGGACCAGGTATCACATTTACAAGTTAAGTAAGGGTGTAACAATGTTAGATGTTAGGTATAACACAGTGTGGAGCTGGAGGAACACAGCAGGCCAGGCATCATCTGAGGAGCAGGAAAGCTGACGTTTTGGATCGGGACCCTTCTTCAGAAA